CGCTGGCCCCTGGGCCTTGGGTCCTCAGTTTTGGCAGACCTCCAGGCATATGGCCCAAGCTGAGCTCGCTTTTGGAATCCTGCGATGCGCTAATGTCTTTGAGCTCCAAGCTTTTACTATGGATATCTGCAGAAGGTTGTTGGCAGAAGGAAAACACACAAATTAAAGTATGATCTCTTTTCCTATATGCATCACTGACATGTTAACAATACAATTTAAAAGGGTTAAAAATTGGATTTTACTAAGGTTAGATATCATTATATAGGGTTAATATAAACATCAATGTGACACTAACACAAAACATGAAATCATTTCCCTGTTCCTTGTTCTGGCCTGCTTTCCTCCCTCAAAGGAGGTGAGGGAATGAGCCACACAGATACTGAGGAGATGATAGGCAGACACAAGGAGCATGAGGCAGGAACAGGGTTATACTGTTCCAGAAACAGCACAGAGGCTAGAGCTGAGTCAATGAGGGTCAAGGTGAGTGAGACAGATGAGAGCTGCAAAGCTGGCCTGGTCTTGCTGGAGGTCAAGGCCCTTTGAAGGGTATTTCTTTATTCCTCATATATAACCCCATCAAAGTGACGCCCAAACAATTGGGTGATGATTCTGTTCTTGGTGGAGGGGATCAGCTCCAAGTCCTGCTAGACAAGAACCTGCAGAGGGAAGTGGAGCAGAAGTATAGGTGGAAAGAGTACCTGTGCAGACTTCCTGCATGTAGTAGTTTGGTACATTTGCCCTATGAAGTCAAAGGAAATTGATTTAGATGAACCATTTATTCTGGAATTGGTTTGCTAGGTACCAATAAAAGGAAGTCTATGGGGAACCTAAGAGTTTGTTTGGAAAATAAATAAACACATACATATGCAGATGAACTTAAAGTCACTGTGTAATTTCTTTTTGGTACAATTTGAACAAGCCATTCTCCTGGACTTGCTTCCTGCATGGGGTCATGTCATGGCTTTTTCATCAGACTTAAGGTACTTAAAACCCTTTGCTTCTACTGCAGCTCTCTCTCTAGGCCACCAGAGTTGGGGGGAAAGGGGCCTCCTTGGGTGTGGCTTCCTTATCATAGTAGAATCTCTTCATAACTTAGAAAATTCTTGTGCTGATAACACCCCACCATCCTGGAAGAATATAATTGGTGCCAAATCATTGTCTTGCAACCTTCCAAATAGATCTACCAACCACAGGTTGTAGTGATAACTGGTTCCCCAGCAGGTTATGGGCACTGATGCCTTCCTTAAGCCTTCACCTGGCAAGAACAATGAAAAAGTACCAAGGGCTCACCTCTAAAATAATGACATGACTTCTAGGCCAGAGGACAAGCAAAGGGAAACACATAATGAGGAGGCTCTTTGCCCACTTCCTCAATCACCACAGCTACTCTGGACCCTTTCATCATTAAAATCTAGTCTGGCAGGGTGGGGACAGGACCAATTCAGCTGACATTCAACACTAGAAGACATTCAACTGTCTCCTAATGACATATGTGTTTTAACCAGAAACAAGGGCATAAGAAAAAAATAAACTAAGAGAATAATTTTTTTTTTTTGCTGTGCAAAACTAGGGAAAATTCTTTTTTTTTTTTCATTTTTCTTTTATTATTCATATGTGCATACAAGGCTTGGTTCATTTCTCCCCCCTGCCCCCACCCCCCTTACCACCCACTCCACCCCCTCCCGCTCCCCCCCCTCAATACCCAGCAGAAACTATTTTGCCCTTATCTCTAATTTTGTTGTAGAGAGAGTATAAGCAATAATAGGAAGGAACAAGGGGTTTTGCTGGTTGAGATAAGAATAATTTGTAATTGGAGATTCCAGGCTTTAACCAGCTCTTAAGTGAAAGAGTACTGATATTTTGAAAATCACAAATTGCAGGAAGAAATTAAAATTGGAAGATGTGAATTAGAATCTCAATATACTATCTGTTACTGTATGACCTTGGGCAAGTTATTTAACATCTCTGAATTTATTTTTAACATATAAAATAAAATCAGAGCCAGATGTGGTGGTGCATACCTACTAATCTCAGTACTCAGAAGGATGAGGCAGGAAGATGAAAAGTTCAAGACCAGCCTGGCTACATAGTGAGTTCTAGATCAGCTTGGGCTACATAGTAAGATCCTGCCTCAAAAGACAAAAACAAAAACTCAAACAAAACAAAACACAAACTTATTAGGAATTTTTATTTTAGTTTTTAGAAAAATATAAAAAGCTGTAAGGATTAAGTGAGCTATTATAGAGGAAAGTCTTTCTAAGCTGCAAAGTGCAACTCTAACATGAAATTCCTTTTTTAGTGTTTCGAGGTCAAGAGTGATTGGAAATACAACTCAAACAACTAGAGATTTGAAAACAATCCATTTTTATGGAAGTTCTTGCTTCTGTTACTTGTCTGAAGATCTAAAATGTTCTGCATTTCTCCTTCCACTAGAAATATCTATTTGGTTCTTGTAAGGAGCCAGTGGCAAGAGTCAGAAGCAATTGTTGAACCTATGCTGGAGCTGGGCCTTCCTTTTTCAACAAAATTCTTGGTGATGAACTCCTTTACTGCATTATTTTGTTACAGACTTGAGAAGGAATAATGGAAATTCCTTACAAATCATCTGGCATCAAGAAGTGTAGGCTAAGGTGGCAAAGACAAGCGGAACACATAGAAAGCCTAATGGATTCCTTTGTGGATGTTTTTTAAAAAAGTAGTTTCCTCTGAGTAGGTTTATGTCCTCACATGAATCCCCAAAGTTACTTAAGAGATGTAATTTCAAGTCCACTGTGTAATTATAAGGCTTGTATCCATTCCTCTTGCAGTCTCACAGTCATCTCTTTATAATCAGAAGGATTACCGCCTCATCCAAAAATGATGAAAGAAGCAAAGACTGTAATTTCATAAGGCATAAGAAATTTGAAATGGGGAGGGTCTAATATAGGGATCTCCAGAAACATAAAGGTCTAGGCTGGTATAGATAAAACGATCCTAAAATGTCACAGTCACCTGAAAAGCTTGCTGTGTGCATAGATGGAGGGGCTGTGTCATAACAGATAGAGGGAAAGGTGGCCAGGCAACACTAAGAGTGGGCAGGACAGGAGGTGGAGGCTGCTCCAGGAAAGTACTGAGTGAGTACATGTGTGTCACCCTTCAGAAAACGAGGCCCACTTCATAAGTACAACACCCCCTGAAGAAGGACACAAACCAGCTGTCTGCTGGCAAAACACATTTTATCTGTACTTTGATTTGTATAATATTATTTTTCAAATATTGAAGTAATTTCTAATATTGAATGGGGAAATTTCCCATTAAAAACTCTGACTTTCTGGGGCTGGAGGCATGGCTCAATCAGTAGAATGCCTGCCTAGAAAGCATCAGGTCCTGTGTTCAAACCCCAGTATGAAGGAAGAAAGGAAAAAAGGGAGGAAGGTAGAAGAGGAAAGAAAATCCTGACTTTTGCCTTCTCCTGAAAACTCAGGAAAGCATGGCAAATCAGGGCCTAATTCCACAGGGCAAGAGCTGGCTGAGACCAGTGGCAGCAGTCCTTTTCAGGACATGGACTCTCCAGTGTGCCATGAGCTCATCACTGCCCTGTCTGATCCAGTCACCTTCAGATTTGCAGTGATTTGGGTTGCCTGAGAAAAGGGAGGAGGAGGGGAAGGGAGAGGGAGAGAAGACCTCTGTAAGTATGAGGCAAACAGAACTGGTTAGAGGGGCAAGGTAGATCATGGAGGAGGCATAAGATGGCTGAACTGTTTATCATTTTATTTTCTTCTTTTATGAGGACAAAATGCAACAGAGTGTAAGCACATACCTCTTTTAACTTAAATAAAGTGAATATAGGGCTTTTTTCCTTGGTTAATCCTCCTGTGGAGAACAGCATCCTTAGAGCCTAATATAAATAACATTTTTATGACGTTTTGGAGTTAGCAAAGCACTTTTCATACATGTTCCTTCACCTAGCCCTCAACCACAACTCTATTAGCCAGAGTAGGCAAACATTACTGTCTCCTGTCATTGGTTAGGAAGCTGAAGTTCAGTAACTTTGCCAGGATGGAATTCAGACAGGACTGGACTTGACCTCCCCACTCTTCAACAATGACCCATCCTGTCCTGAAAGAAACATTGCACTGTTCTGACCTTCCCAAAACTACAGTCTCAGAGATACCACCAGCCCCAGCTAGAGATTCA